GCTTTAAAAAAAAAATAACCCCAAAAGCTTCTTAAATGTATTGTGTTATGAAAAGGATAATCTCACAGGGCATACCTACGCTGACTTTTTCTCCCCCCAATACAATAAAGAAATACCAGAAAATGAATATAATTCTGTTTATTTGGAAAGGTCCTCTTGTATCATTAAATCAGTGCATGAGCAATTCTGTAAATCCCTCCCTCTCTTTTAAAGCCTTTTCTGCCTTTCCTGTGTTATTTCTGAGGATTTAACAATGTGATCTTCATTGTCCAGTTTTTCAGTCAAAAAAAAAAAAAGAGAAAACAACCCCGAATACCCAAAGTTGCGATGTGTTGTTGTGGGTTTCGTAGCACTGGGCTTTGCTTGAAGTGTGTCTTTTGTGTGTGTACATGTTAGGACTGGGCGAAAGTGGTGGGCTTTTCGAAAATCGCTTGACCTCCATTGTTGATGCTTCTCATCACTACCTTGGCTGGCTGGAACAAAGCAAGCACGGGCTGCTATTCTTTAAAAAAAAAAAAAAAAAGGATAAAAAAAAATCTGTTATGCTTAATTTTTGGAATACTGAGGATTCATTGAGGAAAACATTATGTTCATTTTTAGCCCTTTGTTTGCAAATTTTCTGCAGCCCAAATGTTCAGAAATCATGTTTTAATCTATGAGCTTTAGAAAATACAGAAGGTGTAAAGGGATTTGTCTTGCAGAATGCGTTGCTAACGCGTTTTCCCGAGCCATTACATTACTTTTATTTGGGTGCAAGTTTAAGTAATGCCATGCAGCAATGAGCTGCGCTGCAAATGGATCTGGTCTCCTCTTTCACTGTCTTGTATTTATCCTCTTGTGCTTGAGAAAGAGAATAAAACTGGCTTCATTAGCTTGCTAATTAAACACAATGAAGTGCACGGCCCAAGGTTAATGGCAATGGCCTTTAAAAACACAAAACTCTTGAACAGGTGTTTGGGAGATATATATATGTATTTTTTTTTAATCTGTCATCAAATCTAGATAATTATACTGCCGAGATAACCATTGTCACAGTTCTGTGGAGAAGAAAATGGTACGTTAGAGATGCGAGAGCGCAGTGTATGCTTTTTAGTGGCATTATTTATAAACACCTTGCCAGGTCCTGCACAGCCTTGTGGTTTAACTCCCCCCTTTGCCCCCCTGTCCATTTCTGAGCATCTTCTGCACCTCCTCCCCATTGCTGTAGGCTTTGGTGGACCAGGCAGGGTTACAAACTCAGTGTCCCTGGACCGGAGCGAAAGGCTAACCTGCGCCTGGGGAGTTAGCAAAAGTATTCAGGCTCTGAAATTTCTGCCATTTCTCGGGGCTTCGAGCAGCCCATCCAGGCTGGAAGGCTCCTGCTCGCTTGACGAGATAGTAAGAAACAGCCAATTAAAGCGGAGGTCTCGTACTCCCCGCGTTGGAGCTGTCACCAGCCTCCTGTCCACTCTGGTCTCCATCAGCTAAAACACGCTTGTCAGGGTGGGTTGTTTTTTTCGTGCTTTACGTGACGCAACAGTTGTAGACCTCCCCTGCTGCCACTGAATAGATGGTAGAGAAGAAAGAAACAGGCCAGCCTCACTTTTTTCCCCTTTTTTTTTTTGGGGGGGGGGGTGGTGGTTTTTGTTCTCTCCTTCCCACCGTTTTCCCCCCTTCCCCACCACGCACGCACTCCGTGCCTTGCACATCAACCTAGAGGTGTTTCCTTCCCACCTCTGGTAAGCAGGTTGAGATGGAAGAGGAGCAGCTTTCAGAGCATGGGGTTCGCTGTTAGGACCAGCTGAGGAATCCCGCTGCTGCCATTTGCACCGTGCCTGGCCACGGGGTGGCTTCCTCTGCAGAAGTGTCGCAGGCATAAAAGCAACCAAGGGATTTGGTCGCTACAAGGGTTGTAGCGATAAGACGAGGGGGAATGGCTTTAAACTGGAAGAGGGCAGGTTTAGATTAAACATTAGTAAGAAGATTTTCACTTTAAGGGTGGGAAGGCACTGGAACAGGTTGCCCAGAGAGGTTGTTGAGGCCCCATCCCTGGAGGTGTTCAAGGCCAGGCTGGACGTGGCCTTGGGCAACCTGGTCTAGTGGGAGGGGTTCCTGCCTATGGTGGGAGGTTGGAACTCGATGATCTTCAAGGTCCCTTCCAACCTAAACCATCCTATGATATGGTTTATCTTCGTTTCTCAAGGGCGAAGGAGGTGGCTGGAAGAGACAGTTTGAGGCTGGGCACCCAGTGAAGGTGTACGTGTGTGTGCTTTCTCCCCATGGTGCCCGTTCATAGATAGCTGGGGCACCTTTAAAATGAAAGACCGAGAAAGTTACTGCGATTTTGGGCCTTGTAGTGGAAGGTGTTTTGGCTGTTGTATTTCAGGGCCTCTTTTTAGAAGCATTTCTAAAATTTAATATTAATAGTAGTTGGCCGGGTGGAAATGCACTAGTATCGTCAGAGTTAAATGTGATTTTAGTAGCACCTCATCTTTCAGGCCCCGTAAAATACAACACCTTTCCACCAAACACGCCCAGGACAGTTATTTCGAGCTTAAC